ATTCAGTTCTCTAAAATCAACACAAAATCTATATTTCCCATTCGGTTTCTTTACCAAAAGTACCGGTGAGCTATATGGGCTGTCCGCCTCCTTAATTATTCCTTCTTTCAGCATCTCTTGGACCTGACGATTTACTTCAGCCTCTAAGTGCACAGGGACACGGCGTGTTGTGAATATACTTCCTCCATTGTTCTTTATCGGGATTTCGTGCTTTACTTCGTCGCAAAATACGTACGGTTCTCCTTCTCCAGTGAACAGTTTCGCATACTTTTTGCACAACTCGGTGATGTTTGGTTTCTTCGTTACAACGGCTGTTGCCACTCTAACCTCAGCCACCTCGCTACTTTCATGTATTGAGAATGAACCGTACTTCGTGACCACCTTACCGCTTCTTAGATCAACTATGGCTTTTACTTCTCTTAGGAAATCTGCTCCTAATATTGGTCTCGACAGGTTTGCGGTTACCACGAACGGAAACTTATCTCCGAACCATCCACTTTTACGATACTGTTAGACACGCCCAATACCTCTAACATATGCCCTCCTTTAGTGTGAACTGCGAATTTACACGGCTTGAATCTTTTACATTGCTCTTTACCTATTAACGAAACTGCTGCACCTGTATCGATTAGGCACACTAAATCTAGTTCATTTACGTTCACTCTTGCATAGACTGCCCCCCTATCCACTAATGCAACAACCCCCAGATCCCTAGAGTAAGAAGGAAACACGCAACGTCTAAAATATCTCAGTTTTCGTCGTGTTGGACAGTTTATCTTCCAGTGTCCTGTCTCTCCACATGCGAAACACTTATCATTCCTTTTACGAATCATTCGTAATGCCGCAATCTCGTGCTTCAGTTCTTCAGTCTTCTTCTCAATGCTGCTTATCTCCTGACTTCCGCACGCGACCGGAGCTACTGTTCGTGTCATCAACTGTCGCGTCACCTTTGCAAGCTCTCTGATATCCATAGGTTGCGCGGCATGTACCAGTCTCAGCTGCTGGGAAACGGCAACAGGCACGCTCTGGATAAACTGAGATGCCAACAACTGTGCCTCCGACTCCTCATCCAGATTTGGCAGCGCTCGACGCGGCAACTTGGTAAGCTCCACGGCCAGCACCAGCAGATCACCATCGATCGGCAACTTCACCACTCGGAACTTCTGCAGTGCTTCTTCTCTGTCCACTGTGCTATCGAACTCCACGGTCAACCACTCCGTGACTGCCTCCCATGTCTTCTTACCGCCCGCACAGTCCAGGCTGTAATATACGGCTTTCACTCTGCCTCTCAGCAGCTTCCCCAGCACCACCGTCTTCGCCTTCGGCTCCTTCACTCCCATCAGCTCCGTCACAGCTTCGAACTCCTTCAGGAAGTTCAGCACATCTCCGTCCTCAAATTCCTTCGGCCATGGAATCTTCATCCTTGGAGGCAGCGACACCAAATGTTGTGAATGAGAACACAGGTGAGGACAACCAACTATGTATTTAGCACAAATTACAACGTTACTTGGTAAAATACAAAAACCATGCTATGATACACTATTTGCAAAATGTTCTTCAATTGCCTCAAGCTTCATCGTTCCTGGATTTCCACACAAATTGCTTTTTATTTCTGTTCTTCTCTTCTTGATCTTCTCAATCTTCGGCTGTCAGATATTCTATTCCTTACTCACCATATATACTACATATGTCGATATCAGTAGCTCACACCACAGTACTGCTTCTGGCCTTTGAATGAAATGGTTTACGCAGGCTGGAAGATAAAAGCCTCTACTTTATTCTGGTAAAGGTCCTGCCTGATCCGGATGAACATATTCGAAACGAGCATCAGGAGTTTTGAATGAGCCTGAGGGACATCTGCTGTGTCTAATCACCTAAGATTTCTGGCAGCTCACACAAGAGCGCGGCCACTTCATCATATATTTATTCATACCAGGCCAGCAAAAACGTTCTGCCATAAGCTTGATAGATGCACGAATACCTGGATAAGAACGTTTGTTCAAGACGTTGCCTCAATAATGTTTTGGTACTATTGGACGATCTCTACCTGTAGATGTGTCACATAGTAAGGTTTCCTTAGCTGTTCCCATCTGCCCAATACTTCGTTTAAGAGTTGTCGGGGATAACTCGTGCTGAAGATCAGTGTCTTCTTTTTGAAGCTGAGCGAGTTCAAGAAGGTGGATTCCTTGGAAACTATTCAAGGAAGTTATACGAGACAAGGCGTCTGCAACTACATTTTTTGCTCCAGAAATGTGTTGTATATCTTAAGTAAGCTGCTAAATATGGTCCAGTTGTTGAGACTCTCCAGGTGAATACTTATCTGAAGATGAGTCCACAGGGAAAGTAAGGAGTTTACCATCAGTAAAAAGGACGAATTCTCGGCCTTCGATAGAGTGCCGTACAGAACAATACATAGCTAGGAGTTCCCTACCGAAAGTGCTGTACCTCGATTCAGTGTCTAGCAACCGTCTCCAGAAAAATGACAAAGGTTGCCGGTAGTGGTTAACCCATTGTTGTAAGACTCTTCCGATTGCTGAGCAGGATACGCCTACTGCGATATTAATGGGCGCTTGAGTGTCCTGATATGCCAGCATGGTTGATACATTTCGCATTTCCACAAAATTCGTCTGTTAGCGGTTTCATAAGGGATGTGCATTTTGGTACGAACCGTCTATAGAAACTTACAAGACTACTTAATTGTGGTCGATTCTGGGTAATCCAGAATGGCCGCCACTTTGCTTCTCAGAGGTCTGATGACTTGGGCATCAGTAGTGTGTCCTGGGAAATCTAACAAGTCGGTTCCGATTTGGCATTTTTTAATGTTTACAGTAATGTCATGCTTTTGTAGTCGTTCTAAAACAATGTCCAGATGCTGGAGATGGGATTCCCTTTCCAGATTTGCAATCAAGCAGTCATCAACAAACGCATGTACGAAGTTGAGACCTCGCAAAGCGTCATTTATTAATCTTTGGAAAGGGAGTTATGATAGTGGTTTTCGGAATATCGTCAGTGGCCATAGGGATTCGGTTACAGGCATTAACCAAGTCGATTTTCGAAAAAACAGTTGTACCTTTTAGGGTAGCTGTCAAATCGTGAATGTAAGGCAACGGTAACGATCAGGATTCAATAGCCGATAGTCACCAGTTGGACGCCGATCGCTTCTGTCATTTTTAGAGACCATTTGCAAGGGAGATGTTCATGGGTTGCTTGACGGTCGAATGATTCCTAACTCTATCATGTAATCGACTTCTTTTTTGGCCAACCTCAGTTTTTTCAAGAGCCAGTCGGTGCGCACTGAAGAATACAGGTGGTCCTGTAGTCATGATGTGATGTGCAAGATTGTTGGTTACGCACGGGAATTTCGGTTGCGTTTGGTATACCGCAGAGTACTTATCGAGTAACGGTTGATAGAATGGGTCTATTGTGTGCCTAATTGTGACTGGTGATAATTTGCAACCACAAAAAAGATACGCAAACACATAATTTTGTGTTTCCGTCTATTAACCTCCGTTTGCGCGTATGGATGAATAGATTGTGGTGTTGAAGGAGGTCCATACCAATGATTGGCATAGAAACTGCCACAACGAAAATCCAGTGGATAGCTCGGCGTAAGCCCACGTAAAGAAAGACGTACTGCTTTCCATATGTGGCGATATGTTTTCCGTTTGCCGCCTGTAAGTTTAAAACCGGTTCATGAAGCCGGTTGTTAGAGATTGCTGGAGGAACGCAGAGATCTGCGCCAGTATCGACGAGGTAGCGAACTTTCGTTGTCACATCTGTGACGAATAACAGACAGCTATTTTCGCCGGCTACGTTTGCCGTTAACGCGTGCCGGCTGGGAAGTTTCCCGAATTGTTTTTTGTGTTGGTCGGTTTTGAGTTTGGATGATTGCAGGGTTTTCTGCAATTTCGGGAAGACTCTCCATACTGATTATGAAACCAGAACCAGTTGGGGTTATCCGTCTCTTGTGGTCTAGAGACAGATCGCCTACGTGAAGTGCTTCTTCGAGGAGTACGTGACCGTTTACGGTCATTACGAAATCTAAGATAACGCGTAAGTATATGACATAGTTATGTAATGTCATTATGGGTCGTTTGAGGTCTTGATTTGACTGAAAAAAACTCGGCATTAGATTTCGTGATTTCTAGGATGCGGTCGACAGACGCAGCCAGCTTGCCTACGGCGTTGTTCAGAAACGAGACGAGAATTGCTTGCACCTGTTGAGGAAGTTCGGATTAGAAGAGTTGTCTGAATAGGCCATCAACGAAAGTTCTTTGACCAATTACCTCTGTTATTCGTAAGAACATATCTGTCGCAGAATCATATTGTAGGTCGATGTTATTAAGCAGGTTATCCGCGTTTCAGAATAGACCGTTATGGAGTTTCGTAAGGTTCCGAAACATCACTAGTAAACATACTAAGTGTGACGTACCTGTTGAATTCAGGCTGTAGTGCCTTAACAACAGAAGTGAGGAGGTTCGAAGAAATATTTGATAGGTTATCAATATATCGTGGAACGACTGATCTAATCTGACTAGCGATTGCAGGGGATGTTAAGCATAGCGTTTCCATTTGTGATCTAGTGCAGATACATGACCGAACGCCTTCAGCTAGGTGAGTTCATTAAGATTAACGTGGTCAGCATCCAATATCGAACACCTACAGAGCTATTGATTTTGAGGATTTATTTACCGCTACAAGTTTATGAGCCGGAATTCCAGTGTACTGTTACTTTGATAAGACTATTAGCATTGAATGGTGAAATCTTGGTGAAAACGATTTCGCCTCATTTCTCATTCATTATGAGATACGAATTTTTGTTAATGCTGAATAAAAGATAATATACTGAAAATTTGTGTGCATTGAAGAACTAATTCAAGATTGGCGCGATATTTCATGATGTAACGAGTGTGGCCTATTTTAAAACCGATCGTTAGACTATAACTAATAGTCTTACTACTGGCTACTCTTATTATATATCAAGTCAGAGCATTTAGTACTTTAAGTTTAACATCTTAGTTTATTTGTGGTCTGCTTAAATCAGCTGTTATTTGTTTGGCAGTGATATTTTCCTGGTTGGTAATAAACTGAGGATGATTCTTATAGTATATTTTCTGTCAGCCTTAAAATGATATCTTTTCAAAGTTTGGGGTTCTACTAAAAAAAATAACGTGTCGGAAAATACTTTTCGAGTAATTCACTAATAGTTTGTATATTCTCAATCTCAACATCATATATATATATATATATATATATATGAATCACCAAAAGTTTACATCATGTCTTATGGGTCATCACCGGATGATACATGTCCTCCTAATAGTGATAGTTTTACCTGGAAGGTGCTGAAATATTGGGGTGATTATAAATCTGCACGCAGAACATTTTGCAATATATCTAACGATGAAGATCACGTAGACGCTGTGACAAAATTTGCTGAAAATGAATTTTCTGAACTAGTCAGCGTGACACTTGACCGTTTTATGGCGTCATCTAGAACAACGCTTGTAAATTCTGACGGGATAATAGCTTACTATTTCTTCAAAGCACTACTCAATTCGCATAAAGATATCAAGGATGAATCTGAAAAGGGTATAATAACTGATGAACGAAACAGTCTGGCACAAAATGCTCTTAAGGTAAATATATACCTACGTAATTATAAGTAAAACGTTTCAGATGTTTTTTTCTCAGTTCTTTTTTAAGATTGGTTGCATTCTGGATACAGCTTTAGAAGATTCTGAAACCGCCAAGGCATTTTCAGTCTGCATTTGCATTGAATTTATTTCGGATGTACTAAGGGACAACTCATCAACTGTGGTAATACTTTGTCATCTTAGCGAATTGTGGAACAAATTAGGAAACATAATCAAGAAACTTGTTGAGCATATCGTGAGTGCAAACAGATTATTGTGTCGTTTTTAATAAGTGTGTCATTTTTTCCCTATTCTTAGTGCACACCATTGGTTAATAAATTTTTACGAAAAACAGTATCACTATGGCAATCAAATTAACTTGTCTAATAAAATGTTACAAAACCTATCTCCCCATTATGCCGACATTAACAAAAATAGATACGTAGTGATGCGACCTATCTTATAAACCCATTTTCTTACATAAGGTATATTATTAAACCACTCCTCCACCAGACCTAGATGTGAATTTCGCCTATATCTCTGGATAAAGTTGATATGTCCCTCAAAATAATAAGTAGTACATTTTGAGCTTCTAGTTGCCTTTAAACTGGCGTTTTCGCCCTTGTCTTGTAAGCATTTTAGCAAGATGGTTAGGCGATAATTTTCTGACAAGATGGTGACTATATATTTCATCTTTTCTCACAAGGCATAATTCAGACTTTTCTCTGTTTATTTTGGTTTTAGTGAAGGAATCCCTTTAAATTAGTTCTCAAAACTACAAGATGGTGTATACTTATTACAGTGGTATAAAAGTGGTCTGTATATGTAAGAATATCGAAAAAATGATAAGAATATTGACTACATGGTTTTCTTCCCCGTACTAGTTTATTATTATTAATATACGGTTGTACAACCTTAAGAATAAACTCATTGGAAGAGATTACTTCACCGAACTGTTTATCCAATCACTTATATGATATTTTCAAATTAATGTTTAAAATCCTTACGAAAGTTTGGTGCGGAATTTCATTCAGAAAGTATATTTAAATCATCCAGGGTGGTTAGTGTATAGTTATTTGGTTTTAGTGTGGACAAATACTATACTTAAATTTCAATAATACTAGTTTCACTACTGAGGTATAAGTGAAGCTAAATGAGAATTTCTAAGGTAGCGCTAAAGTATGTTTTATAACCCTTTACCAATCAGATGTAGCCTGTTACCCCTCGTAGAGCATATCACACCGACCAGGATTTTCCAACTATTTCCTGAGCTCCTTCCCAGTTGTTGCAAAATATTGTTCATTCTTTGGATGTCTGCTTCCAGTTTCCGACGCCATGTGTTGTTGGATCTTCCCCTTTTTTACCTTCAGAATTAAAAGTTAGGGCTTACCTCGTGACATATTTTGATGATGTCTTCAATGTGTGTCCTATTCAACTCCGGCGTCTTTTCTTGATTTAATCTTCAGCTAGAAGTTGGTTTGTTCTCTGCCACAGTTGCCAATTACTCGTGCATGTATTCGACTAATAGTGATGTTATGATGTCTGTAGGCTCAGCTAACTTATCAGGAGTGTATTATAAATAGCAATGCTATTCCAATATCTTATGCAGGGGGTGTTGTATCACTAATTGAAACTGAAAAAAAGTTATGTTATAAATTCTCCAAAACATTCTACTTTGGTTCTGACTATCTGAATCCACAAAAAGAATGATTCTATTAATATTCACTATCTCAAAAATTGTATGATTGCTGAACGTTTTGGAACTGCAGCCATCATAATCAATAGCTTGAAAACTTTGAATAGCTAGAACACATGATCAAAGTTGAAAACGGATGTATACCGTTAGTTGTTATAAATAAAAAGGGACCATCTCTTCGAAAACTAACACTCAAGATGACTCGTAAATTGTGAATCCGACCTTACAAAATAAAGCGACCCATTTTGTTTATTTGTGAACATGGAACTGTTATTTCCTAAGCAGATATATCTTTTCATTATTGTAGATAATCAATCAAAATGGTAAAGCTAATGATGATCAAGAAGTTTTTCTTTTCGAAATTTTTCGTCTTTGGAGATCCGCTCTAAAAGCATACACGACGGTTGATGATAAAAAGATGGATAATACGCGTGATTGTGCATTTACTGTAAGTGATCTGATTATACCACAAAATATTTTTCTAAGGAACACTATTGTCACTTGAAATTCTAATCTGACTCACAAACTTTCATGATGGCAGAAAAGACTACATGTCTTGGTCATGACTCTTACAAACTTTTTACGACTTAGTAGTAGTGGCTAGGTCATGCATACTAGGTCATCAACCACCGTAGGACTTTAAGGTGATCATTCTAAAACATTGTCGTTAGCTGTTCGTTCAGTTCGTGTAAATAAGTGCACAACTTTGGTTGCAGTTCTTAAACTGAGAGAAATTAATGACTGAAAGTCGTGGCTGATGGTTTAAAATCGAGCGTAGTAATTCATATCCATTTATCGTTTATCCAGCTCTTAATCTTAGAATTCTTACTACTCACCGTTTCTGTTTTTTGGTTCATTTCCATTCAGTAAATTTTAATATATTTCCACTTTTCCTGTATTTTTTGTAATTTTGCGGAAATAAACACCTTGGACATGTGAGCCTTGTCGGGGGGGTTTGTTAATCCTTATTTGTCTAACATAAGAATAACTTTAACTCTAACTGTTTCTTTACATAGGTAGGTGTTTGACTCTATATCATGATCATATCTATTTTTGAATTTGATGTTTAGCTAATGTATTGTTAGTATTAAACAACAGGTGGAAAATTATATCTATACCATCGAATCATCATAATAGACTTTAAGTTCATTTAGTGTACTTATAAATATTTTCTTAATATTTAGTAGATTATTACAGAAAACCAGTAGGCTGGAATCAAAACATGATCAGAACACGTTAACTGAAGTGAAAAATAGTACATGAAAAGGAGTTTGTTCGACTTTTTAAATCATACTACTGAAGCATTGCAGGTAGTTCTTAATAAGTTAGATTTGCTGAAGTAATTGTAAATAATAAATCTAACGACTCACAGAAGCAGTGAGGTTATAAATATAATAAGGAATTCAATTCGACTTTGATTATTCTTGTCAATGTGTAGTATCTCCATAATTTTATTTTACTTCCTTCAAACTTCGGGGATGCGTTCCTTCGTAGTTAGATTATTTATTTGAACACATAAGCATTGGTACTGGGGGGCACCAAATACATATGCGCAACGCAAGAGCAATCAGTTTGTTTTCTACGAGATAGGGTTGCTGACCCCATACCCAATCCTCTTCCTTTATCCGGGCTTGGAACTGGCAGAAACATCAGAACAGTTTCAGGTGGAATGACTAGATGTTAATTGGTGAGAAAAGACCTTGACCATAGTAAAGTTTGAAAGAGATTATCAAAGATATATCCGAACCTTGTGACTATTTCCAAAGTTTACAATTTGTGGAAGATTCTGCAGCAAAGATTTCGTGAAATAAAATATACGGTAAGATTGAACTGAGCCACTGAAACTACAAGTTTGAAATGGGTCGCAAATATAAAAATTAATTAATTCTACTTCGAATTGAAGTTGACTTCAACATATGGGCCTACAAAATCAAAGCACTTCTGAGCATATAGCTTTCACTCCACTTGTTTTATTCTAATAAATATGATTGGATTTATCTATCTTGGTAACCTGTTAAAAGTTTTTTTACTTAGTCTGAAATCACATTTTCAGAGTAGAAACTAGTGATTCCATACCAGGTCTTATGGTGTAGTATCTGGTGGTTAAAGGTCAGATGCTTTAACCACCAAGGCATCTCAATATTCTGTTGTGTCATAATTTCTCATTTTATTGGAGATTAATATTAATCAATGAAAAGTCTAATTTTTCACATGATTTCTGTCAGAATAGTTTATTTATCACATAACTTGAAAGTTTAAGGCTTAAATTATATGAAGAGTTCATAAACTTTCTTCTCAGTTGTTATTCACTATACGTTTGCATTTTAGTTCATTTATGGAGTTATAGAAAACATCAAGTTTATAACCTCACTATTACAATATTTCAACCACCCAATCAACCAATAATATAATATAATATAATAAATTCCGAATTTACGGTTTAAATATGTAGTGATCGAATATATTTGTACCGGGCATCACAAACGACTACTCGGTTTTAATTTATCAAACTTTATTAATCTCAATTCTCTCCTTTGGAAAACTTTCATTTGTCCACATTAGACCTCTATTAAGGTTGTAAAATATATTGGTAAGAACATACCACCAGATTCTGTAGTCATATTTATTTAGAGACCTATTGTTATATCTTGTGGCCGAGTGGATGCCTTGTTAATGTGTGACTTGATAAGACCGCCAAACAGGGAGTAGCGAATTATTGACTGGAACGGTGACACTCGAAGCCGTACGAGCAGTCTAGAGTACTAAGCCGTCCTGCGATCTGCCTAGCCCAACCAGTTAAGTCCAAACACCAATAACAGCCTCAGTGGTATGAATCATTGTATTTCAAACATACTGAGTTTATATACCAACCAAACAAACCATATCGACCCATAAAATAGATAATAACATTTGTACAATATTAAGCCGAATGTGGCTGTGAATAGTATTCAATAAACTGATGATAACTCAAGGATCTTATAATAATAGTTCAAAGGTCAAAATAAAGTTAGTGATAAGAGGAAACGAATATGATTAGGTTAATTACAGTAGAAAATATACATATTATATTGACCAATAAATAGTCCTCAAAAGTTACCATTCGTAATTCTCTTCGGGATACAACACCTATTCATCTAATTTATACGTCCTCATTAATTGCATCATGTATTTAAGTGGTTGTAACAGTCGCCTATCAACTAGATTTTAAGCCGTTAGTAACTGTTGTAGTTTTTTTTCATCAGAAGTCGTATTATGTTAAATTACCGCTGTTTTTAATTTGGAGTAAAATTTTCCTTCAGACCTGATCAATTAGGTTCCAAACTCCCCCGACTGTCTTTATGGGATGCAGACTAACCATGTATGGATAGTGTCTGGCTTAAGGACGTAAACAATGTGCAAGGAGGAGTGCACCAACCTGAGCAAACTATATTCTTTCTCTGTTGAGACCGTAAGTAGGGTGTCGGATTTCTGATATTGAATAGACTCTTATTACACTGATCATTACATTTATGTAGTTCGATAAAGTGACTTCCTTTTAATGTCCATAATATTAGCGTTTAGAGTTATCGATTTACATGTGAAAATATCAGCAAAGAATAAATAAATATATATGTAAATGCGAGTGTAACTGAAAAAATGTTCAACATATGTAAATTAGATAAACCTACAAGTACACAAATAACAACAATTTTATATAGATGATTGTGCACAAAATCAGTTAATATTAGTAAATACAAACAGATTACACAAAGAGTTACTTGTTGATAAGTGCGTGGTTGCGTGTTTACAAAGGTGCAGTAGTTGACTCACCAATTATAGAGTAAAATTAGTAGATACACGACAATAGGTACAGTTGATTATTGTAATGGATAATTGGCCAAACTAATGATTTAAGCACTGGTTAAAATGCAAGCAACAGGTATGTTATAAACCTGATTATGTGACAACGGCTATCGTGAAAGAACAAGAGTATGCAAGACTGCAAGTATATTGAGTGGAGACTAATCAATATATTAATCAAAGTGTACAAGAAAGTTTTGTATGACGACTTAATGTATTATTAGTCAATAACCACAATTGAACGATTCAAGTGAAATTATGAAAGATATAAGTAACAACAAAAATTGCTTGCAAACCAGATCTAAATTATCCATATTTACAAGTTTTGTTAGCTTGTTTCCGAAGTTTTTCTTCCCTATTGACTGTCAGATATATGGAAAACAACTTTTTAATCCAGAGGGAGTATCTCATCTGTATTAAATATAATATTTATATTTAATACCAATGATCTCACTAATAATCTACTCCAAATGGGTATTTACTTAGTATTCAGTTATGATAATTATTTCTCAGTTAACGAATGCTTAAAATATAATATACGAATATTTTGCGTTTGTGTTATCTTCTATGAAAATATGAGTATTGTAATGAAAGATCTAGGTTGATCTGCACAGAATAATTTGTTTATCCAATACACAGAACAACTTGATTATGCATTTGCTGATCAATATGCTTTGTAGGAAAATAAAGAAATATTACATATATATCTATAAATGGATTTATAAAAGGGGGAAAGAATATGATTCAGAAGTACCATATTTTCACACCTTTTTGGCATTAAGTATGGATTAAAGATAGTCGGCATAAGTTGAATGTAAAAACAAAATACGCTTCAAACACAAAGAATAATTAAATTCATAATACGCATCATCTTTTATGTTTCCAATAATGACTATTTATTTGACCTTCGTCTTCACATATTTCTACAAACTGTCATTCTAAGGTAGAAGAAAACGTGGTCAGAAATAATAGATCTTCAGCATAATATATTTAAACCAACCATTATTTATACACGTTCAAATTTACTTCCAGGTCACAATTCAAAGCTTGTTCATATATATTTTTGCATTTCAATAACTCACAGTTATATATATGGTGGTAGTTCTTCTATCTCTGTTATCATTATATTGTGTATTTTAAAATTATTTCAGTTGAGTTGGGAATGAGGGCTAAATTCATTTCCATGGTTTTATCGATTTTTATGACAAGTAACTCTAAATAACTTGTGTAATTATTTTTCAAACATCAAATCTCTGTCTAAAATACCATATATATAATTTACAATTCTGATTCAATGCTTAGCATATGAACTCACACAGAGTTTAGGAGCATTGAACAGTAAAAAGTATGCGAAATAATCTGATTAACATCAAATTTTACCATAATGTAGAACAGCGTTATTGGTAGTTGATAATCACTTCAAAAACCAAATTAAAATTGTTCGAATCCAGAACGTAACTGTATATTTTCTACGAATTCCTCAGATAGTTTAATAATTACTTATTATAAATGAATAGTGTTGATATAGTCTGTAAACAGGGTGTCATGTGATTATCGAGAAACAATTCAACGTATTATTCTTGTTAACAGTCAGTTTTACTACTAGATCGTAAGCTCTCAGCATCAACTTCACTCTTCTGTTTTTTGGTTAATTCGATCATGGCTTCTAAAGAAAAGTCTGAAAAATCTTGATAGCCGCATCTATTACAGGGTATATGCTTCATACTTCACTATTTCAATTATTATTTAGGGTTATCCCGTTACTGTTAATGTACTGTTTTACAATTCATGCCTACTATGTGATTGCGAACGATATCACATCATTGCTTAAACTAAAACTACGTATGATTTGCTAATTATTCTATCGTAGCTAATTATTTATTTAAAGGAAAACAGCAGTTAAAACTGGAATAGTTTCGTCTTTGTAAATGGAAGTCTTGTTATTTAAAATAATACTATGGTAAAAAGTTTATTTTGTCGCTTGATTCATCTCGTTTGGTGCGGATAAAAATTACTTTTTTCTGTTCTACTAGGTTTTAGTTGATGTTCTACACGTCTGCTTAACTGAATACTTCACAAAATATTCAAAATTTCTCGTCGATGTTTCTTTATCCATTTGGCCAGTCTATTTTGTACGCAGTTTGCGCACTCTGTATAAACTTGTGTATAAATCTGATCATTTATGGGCCAATAATCTACATCCTATCGTTAACAAACTTATATACGAATTACTGTGCTCACACTCCCGTTCACAAAGGTCTACAATAGAAATATCTGATTCCAACGCTTTTTGTGGTTGTTTAACTACTCATATAGTGCGTACTATAAAAACTCAAAAGATTAAATGCGACGAAGTATCTTTGCTTGAACCAGATATTTGTTTATCTCTGCGCATTATTATTATATGTGGTCTCGAAAATGCTTTAAAATTAGGTAGGTTTGTTAGTTTTAGATAATCAACTACCCTTCTGCTTCGTTGGTATACTATATGGCATTAGGTTATATTATGTATAATCATGTATATAGACGTAGATCAAAATTTTAGGTTATTTTCTCTCTCCCTTAATTACTTTGGTTATTATCATCCAACTTAAGTCTTTTAATTTACATTCTCAGTCCATCATTGGTCACTGCGGGTTCAAGTGGCTTCATAGTTTCCATCAGATAGATAGCATTTCTTACTCACGGACGTTTCTGTTACTTCCTGACGAGTACTATTCACTTAGCCAAGTTAATATGCAGAAGTTTGCAGTATTTTATAGATATCATTACCAAGTTTTGATTTGATGATTTTGAATAAATTGAGCATTGGGTAGATTTGGTTATTTATCCTCTGAAGAAGTGGCTTACATTGAGTTACGAAACGTCAGAAAATCTAATTTTTCTACTCATTAGGATATTACAAATATATTATTTATTTGCAGTATTTTGCCCTATTCAGTATAAATGAGATAATCATAGTTTGTTTTCTGACGAGTCTTAACACGAATATATCACACTAACCATGATACTCATCAGCAGAAATCTATTCTTGCTATCTAAATAGTGAGGATCTCAGCTTAGAACACTGGCAGTATAGTAATCAAAAACTTTCAAGTCAGAATCACATTTCAACCACACATATACTGAATGTATGATACAATCGATGAGAACAAACACCATTTGGAACCTAATAAGTTACGTTTGTACTTGATAATGCGTATTTGGATTTTAGGAAATTCTCGGTTAGTAAAACTTGTACGATTTCATGTCTTTACATCCGCTTGTTGAGTTCTTAAAGGTTATTAAACTAAAGTACCTGAACTTTCCTACTATCTCGATCTTTTCTATTCCATTATAGACACTTCTTGCGCCCTTGGTTGAATAGCAATAACTACCTAATAAAAAATATCGATTAGGTTTATTTCTTTATTTGTCAATACTCTGATTAGTCTATGTTTTGTTCATTTGGCAAACGACTTTTGATTAATTTACTGTACTATTAAAAGCTGACTAATCGTGTATAAATATTTTTCTCGTTAAAACATTTCTTCATTCCAAGTGAACTGTCACTGTTTCCTTATAAGCTGTATAGATTTCAAAGCTCTTCATATAATAAGTAAAACTACACGAAGTATAGTGGTTTTAAAATGTGACGACTTTCTCTTTATGCTATTTTCAATCATGAAATTACTTTTTTCCTCATGAATTATGTTGAAGTGTTTGCTAACCACTACTATTGTAAATATCCTTGGCAATATGCTTCGCATCGTAGGACTTTTACAATAGACACAAGAATATGTATTGTGGAGAAATGCATTAGTAATTCCAGTCGTTACATAAAATAACACTCTCATCTAATTTTAGATCCTAATGATCTACAACTTTGGTCAATAATAAGCTCTATTCATCAATTATTACTGGATATTGAATTGGATAAATCAAACACGGTACATAGTTATGAAAATTCAATAATTATCTTATTTTCTGAGGATGATGCACAACTTTTCCGAGTATTGGACCTATGGATACAGATTGAGGACCATATCAAATCCACAGAGTAAGATTAGTGTTTTTTTTTAATTCCTCAGATTTTCCTTTATCAAATTATATTTGATGCGTATACGAATTGACCATAGAATGGACTGTCGTAGTAGTGTACCTGTAACTAAAACCTAATTCGTGATGTTATCGACACATCTTTTTCAGAAACTACATTTAATCGCCCTGCACCGTAGCTCAGTGGTTTGTACATTCAACTGACTGGTACTGGATAGCGGATTACAACCCATTTTCGTGCACTCGTGTTGTATCGTTTCCTCATATATGTCTCTCAGCTTATTGTATGAAACTTCACTAGATTCGTCCTTAGCTACCCTTTACTCAACCATGCAACGTAGCAACATATAGTTGACGGAATTGCTTAAGTCTGCTGTCTATGTAAATGGCCTAACATGGACAGTTAAACGAATAAATCCAATCAGATATAACGAAGTGTGTCTTTGTTCCAGGATCATTGTAAAATACAATATTTTACTTGGCTGTAGTTAATGATTTATTCGATGTGTCTTAACTGCTGTGCTAATATGCCACAAACAACATCTTTTTTCGAACTGTGGTCCCAAAAGTAATCACTTCTTTGGGACAGCCGTTTTAGTCGGTCTTACTTGTATCATCTGACATTATTGCCAGAATCATTTGTGAAGTCGCAATATTATACTGCAACACCACTACTTGATTATTAATATAATATTTTTGTTAAATATATGTATGATTGTTGAACCAATGATGGATAACTAATTTAAACGAAATATTTACTCTCCTTTTTTCTCACTTTATTCTCGCTGCTATATTCTATTCACAATATTGAGCCCTTAAAACTTTCTCTTAACAACTAAAATCTTGAAGTTCTGTTGAAAAGAGTTTAATAGTTTTAATTACCGTTAGGTATAAAGGAGAGTTAATAAGTCCAACCTATGGTTTGTGCAAACTGTTGTGATAACTCAGGCTGACCAGACAATCTAGTCTGAATAAAATCATATATTGGTGAGTGGAAGAAAATATTCAAATTGTTTTATAATATTTATTGATCGTATTTCAGAATATACCGTGTTGTTTGTTTATTTTTTGACTAGTATGTTTATAATATATATTAGTCAATAAGTTTTGTAACAAGTGTGGTCGTTGTTACATAATGTATAAATAGAGTAGTCAGAGGGTACATGTATTTACTTTAGATATTCATTACGCTGCAATGATCTCTTCATTCAGAATGGGTTTTTTTTCCATTGTAAGTGTAATATCTAATATATCACCATTTAAAAAATAACTACAATAAAAACATTAAATTTGGCTACGCTGAAAGTTCAGTCCCATTCTTTTTATCCTTCTTTCCATTTATTAGGTTATATCAGCAAATGACTCCCCATGCTGTTCCCAATGCCCATTGGTTGTTTGCTTATTTGGCGAAATCTGTCGGCTTTTCGTCTTATTTGTTCGTTGACTGGCTGGTATCTCCTGAAACTACCTGTTTATCTTACTTAGTTCACTACTTGAGAAGATTGAGCATTGATGATGAGCTTATTTGCGATCCAAATCAGTTCGTTAGAAGTGCAGTATTGATACATTCCTGGCCATTACAATCGCTTATAAACATGTTAAGTCAAATTTCGAAAAGTCTCCAAACCTTGAATCAATACAAAGGCATCGCATTTTGTCCTACGCCGCTTATCAATCGCATTCATCGTTCTTTGTCTGTCTTGAATAACCTATGTCATTTTATGACACAATGTTAGCTTACCACAAAATATCCCGAATAAATTTTATGCATAAAGCTTTCTAATAACTTATTGCTATCCTTTCATTTGGTTTTGTAGCCTGATGAATTCAGTTAGGGTGTTACGATTAAGATATTTGGACCCTAGATAATATCCTATAGAATAGAGGTAAATGCATTATTTGGTCGTTAAATAGTTATGAAACACAGAACGAACAGTGTTAACGAACCATGCAGTTTAGCTGTTTATTGTTATTTTCTTTTAAAGGTAGCTACTTAATTTTTGCATCACATCTTCACTAGGAGATTAGACTAGAGAAATCCTACTAAGTGTTAGATACAAACTGAATCTCATAAACTTGTCATCTGTAGGCTTTAGAAGAATTAGCGCTGGCATTTTAAAGCTATCGGTTGCATGTCTTTTTATGATGAATTATTAGTTTTAAAAACTAAAATTCAATTGTGAGTTTTAGTTATTAAATCTACCATCTGCAACAAAGCTCTTATTCCGTCGTGAATAGCCCTGATATTCCATTCCCAAAAGTTTGTTTGTGTTTAAGACTCAAGAAACACTCGTAGTTTTCATTTCTAAACCGCTAACTAGTCATATCATTCTTCCTTTGGTAAGAGGCACTCATCTCGGTAGTAAACGAAACATGATAAATCAACTCAGTTGGTCATTTATATCATCAACATTGTTAATTCGGATTATGCTTTAATCACGTAGTTTGCTGGTAAATTTCAATCAGCTAGATACCTAAGTTTTGAAATTATCGCTTGGATAAATTTAACAATACAAATTTAGAAAAGCTATTTATGCTTTTTGGATAACAAATTAATAAGACATGCGGATTTTGAGGTAGATGTATTATCCAAATTAATAAAGCTTCACTCTAAACAAAAAGTCGTTGGGTACATGAGATGTTTTATTACGACCATTCTTTTGTAACCTACAAGACATTGTCTAGGGTTAGTCGGTGTGTTCAAAGATGGCATATTTCATGATCACTTTGACCGAAAAATGCTTACAACTGACTTACCATGTATTACTTATTCAGTGCTTTTGGAAAAGAACTATTTGACCAGAAACATTTTCATCTTCACAGATCCGATATTAACTTATCCTTCAAACTAGCATTGTATAGTGGACTGCTGGAAAGCAATTATCTCCCAGCTGAGCTGTCTGTCAGAGCGTCCCAGTCGTCTAGTCTGAGAGTAGACTACTGTTTTATCTTCTCCAATGACACCCTCACAAAATGTCGACTTATTTAACCCGTTTCCATGGTTAGTCTAAACAGCTACACTTTTTTGCTTTGTTGCCATCGTTCCTACCAGTCATTCAGTAGACTTTTAAGTTGCCTTCGTTTCCCACCGTATTAGCACCTCGTCGTGATGAGTCCTGAAGCTTTCTTTGATTCAGTAGACTATCGAGATTCACTGGTCTATCTTAGGTTGATCACGAGTATTATTACTTTTACAGCTACATGAAAACGGACATTTTCAACGCTTCACTGAGATTACTTAGTTGGCTGTACATCAGTGAGATTTTCATCTTCGTGCTGGGCTCGAGAAGGTTATCGTGTAACTGTCCAATGTTCCGTAACGACCAGATATACGGGTACTCAGATTAGATAGTGACCGAAATTTAGACGCGGTTGAGAATAATCTGGGGTTTTATACCTGGTCGTTCCACTGATAGCGATGCAATTTATTCGTTGTTCATCAGTGTCAGAGTTGCTAAATCAGTGTTTTTTATGCTTGAATCCGGTACTCACCAGAAATCGCCGTTTATTTCAGAGAGACGGCCATCATCTGTTTGTTGAACTAGAATGTAAATACCTTAACCTAGGTATTAGTCTTCTTGACTTCGCCTACCTACTTAGCAATAAAAAGGTCGTTGAATGACTATATTTGAGTCCCTGGTCTTTAGAAAAGGGCTTGTAGCGGTCAATAGACCCGAAATAAATAGCTCTGCAGGTCTTCAATGCAGATGTTGACCTCGTTAGTTTTACTGGATACATCCTTGCTGAAGACACTCGATCACTCATCCGAACTAGATCACGAGTGGGTACACCGTGTTATGCATCTTTTGCAACTATTAGCCAACTTGGATCAAACAATCCTCAACTCATCGATAACCTACATATATCCTCGAACTCGCTTACTCCTGACCTCTGATTTGGCTAGGTTGGTAGCCTTCGATTAAAAAGGTTACGGACAAGGGCGATATAAAACCTTGAATATCGGTGGCATATTTATGTCATATTATCGGCTTGACTATAGCTAGTAAGAGCTAACAGGTGGTGATGTGTGTTTTCACTTCCAAGTCCTTGCAGTGCTATTTTATCGGACAGTGCACAATGGGCTATCGGCTGAAACGTCTGGTTAAGGACTGTTGGTTCCACTATAGAATGAGAATCTAGGCTTACACCTGCAAGAATAAACGGGATTGTCAGCAAGCTTTCAGACTTCTGAAGATTAAGCTGCACTGATTTCTCGGGTTACTTACTATAGGGTAAGTAAGTGAAAAGACTTGGATTTTGTAAGTCATAAAGAACTAGTTTACAAATATCCGGATTGTAACACGTTACCTGATTTGATGTGGTTCAAATAGTGAAAATCTCAAAACGCAGTTAAGCGCAATGTATGGACTTGAGTTTTTAGTACCGATCGTATTTGTTGACGATGAATATTTGGTCACATAGAAACGAGAAAGGGGACTTCTGATTAGTTTGGATGCACTTTGAAGTGCTTGAACAGCTTGGATTTTTTGCCTATCCATATTATGATGGACTGCTTCGTTTTAACGTGCCTGTAAAACGGAGATATATCATCTACTTGTCCAAACCAAAATATGCAATGTCAACCTAGAGAAGTCATCCTCCAGTAGTTACACCACTGTCATACCGATAGTTCCTAGTATTTTAGGCTACAGCTGGAAACATTAAAGTCAGTCTTTATAGTTACGACATCAAGTTAACGGTGTAGGGATTGTAGCATTCCGTCTGCGCTCCTTGTCTATCTTTGACAACACATATGGAATAGGCATGCTCAGTCGGTTAGAGTCCCATTGTTCGCATCATAGGTATGACTTATTTAAACACATAAACATTGGTACAAGGAGGCACCAAATAGATATGCGCCACACAAACCGCTCGACTTGTGTGACGGCTGGGATATAGCTCGGGTGCCCAGACCGAAGCAGGTGGTTTTCTCAGGTGGCCGCACCCGGAGCCTTTGACCTAAAGGTCTAATCCACAAGGCAGTGGAGCAAAGCCAGTAGGTGCATACTCATGGTAGCCGGTGATCAATAGTTGGTTCATATGCCGTTTTTTCCCTCACGATCCTGGAGCCCGTGTGCACCATTGGCTTGAAATCAGGGTTTCACAACTTCCCTTGGTGGACTCTGTGTCCACCAACCCGGTTAAAGCACCAGACATTCGCCTTTCGTCCTCTCGACTTCGTAAACAACACTGCCGCGAGAAGACAGTGAGTAGGACTTCCATGGCAATGGCTGTATGCACGTGACATGTGAGAGCATTTCGAGAGGGAGAGCTAACACTCCCCACTCTCGGCCGTACCAGGGCATTTGGGGGCCTTAATGATCACAGATATGGCAGGGTATATAAATTAACCAGTGATCATAGACGAGGTCAGTTAGTGACTACTAATCAGGTTGTTTTAGTCCTAAAACTTAATATCAAGGAATCGACAACCCCAGGATAAAACTTAGACATGCCTGAGGCATTAGACTCACAAAGTACTTGTGAATATCCGATAAAAAAAATAAGGGCTAGAGAACGGATATTGTATTAGCCAAGTATACAATTAGATATCGCAATATGAAATGTAACGTTAGTCACGTATAAGACATTGAATTTTTGCATTAAAACATTAACAAATTTGAAAAGAAAATGGAAAAATGCAAGCGACGAATGGGCCGAAATCCACTTGTCTATTATTGCGGAAATCTAGTTAAATGGTTACATTAAATGTACACAACAGATTTTATGAAACCAATAAACATGTGAAGTAAGAAGAAAAAAGGCTAATCGCCGTTGTCTCACAGCACTTTGAATGAAAATGCAAAAAACTTATTAATTCTTGCCACCTAAGTTTTGACAGAGCCAATCTAAACCCTCAAATAATCCAGAACTGTTAGTAGCACATGTCCCTTGAATATACCATGTGCGGTTACGTAATTGATGTAGTCCTAATTTATCTGTAAGTTCCGTAGGTTTTAAAGCATTGGGTAGATCCTAAAAATTACTTTAAATGTTGAAAACGCAAACCATACCTGTTTGTTTGCAAAGACCAAAAGAAGTGTATCTCGTAACTCATCTTCTTGTAACATACGGAACAACTCGTCCTTTGCTTCCCCAATGCGATCAGTGTCATTACTGTCAACCACGAATATTAAACCTATGGAATGTAACTCCTAACCCTAAAATAGTTTTACCTTGAGTGTTTTGGAAATAATGTCTCCATAAAGGACGTATTTTATCTTGTCCACCGACATCCCACACCGTAAAACTAATGTTTCTATACTCCACTGTCTCAACATTGAATCCAATTGTAGGGATAGTCGTAACAACTTCCCCAAGTTTTAACCTGTACAATATTGTTGTCTTGCCAGCAGCATCTAGACCAAC